ATAATTTGTCTCTTTGTGCTTATGCATTGTGGTACAGTCATTATCATCTGAGCATATACTATTTTTACCCATAAAAATCAGACTGAGACAAACAAAAATTACATCACATAGCCACATGTGCACCCACCGGAACTGGAACCTTTAGGCCCACCGCATCATCCTCTAAGACTTGAGTTTACAGAATAACTAGCAGCTGTATTAGATTCCTACTCTTTATATAGGTCAGCCAGTCGGGGTGGTAAGTCCCTGATTTCTACCATGGCTCATTGATAGGTCTTGAGGTGACCTAAGAGTCCAGTCCTTGAGTCACAGATCAGAAGTTCCAGGAGAGACCAGCTGCAGAAGTTGCAAGTCTTTCTGTAGGGGAGAATAGGCTTTAGGTAGGGATTTTTGTCCTTTTCCTTCCTCTACCCTTTCTTCTCTGCTTTGAGGGAAAGATGCTTTACCTCAAAGTGGCTGCCATTTGATTGAGGTTGCAGCATCACTGGAATTGGTTGAAATGGAACTGGGACTTAGATCGAGTTACTTTTGTAAACTTTATCCACATCTTTTTGAAAGATAGTCTATCTTAATTTAAAGCTTTCCAAGTGAGTGAGGATCCACTGTGTCTTGGTATTGTCCATTAATGTTCTTAATATAGAAATTTAATCTTAGACTCTTTAAATCATTTGGCATTTTATTTAAATTATTATATAATGTCCAAAAGAAAACCGTGTTTATATCTGAGAACAAAATGTGTCTGTACATGTTCTCACAATACTTTTTTTGTCTCCATCTGTCCTATCTCAATGCAAAATACATGATTCTCCTAATATTTTACAGATTTGAAATAGATATGCTTCTAAGTGTGTGACATTTCAGAAGTGTGTTGGTTGAAATGGGCATCTTTTTTCCCTTTAAAAATTCACTATGAAAGTGTACTGCTTTTTCTTACAAATATTGTTCTGGTAAAGACTCATGCTGGCATGGGTGGTTAGTAACAAGTTTACTAGCTGAACAAGTTTGCTCTGATATCCTGCACTAACTTGCATATCCACTGAATAGTAGAACAAGAAGATTACTTTAATGTAAATGAATTTGGTTAAATATGTGGCTGCTGCAGATCAGAGCTGTAGGCATCACAAACCTTTTTCTTGAAAGCCATGCAACAACTGATGGAAGTGAAAGCCAATAGATGTGTATCTCCATTATCCTTGAGATGCTGGATTAAAGAATGTATCGGTCCCCTACATTTCTCTTTAGTATCTCTTCATTCCAGTGGAATGGAATCACTAGGATCTCTGAAGACGAACGGAAAGTAGGAGAGACCCATGAAGATTTTCTCAGAGAATATGTTCAAAGTTACTGTTAAACTTGTCGTGTTGCCCCTGTAGATGCTCTCTGTAAGAGACTAGAAAGCAGTAGCAAACCTCAGAAAGTAAGCTGAAGACTACTGAAATAAAAATACTGCTTTCCCCAAGCCATGTATCTGATCTAGCTCTAAATGGAGCAGATGATGATATATGGAAATGTGACTCAATCTCCCAACGGCAGCTTTGCTTATTGGCATCTGTTCTCTTAAATATTACTGAGGCATGCAGCAATGACTTCGCTACTGCTAGCAGAATTGGCTCAAACTGTCTATGGAAAGCAGAGGGAACTTAAAATAATTCTTAGGGGATTTATAAATATTCATTAAAATACGTTTTTATTTGTATTTTTCCCTATTTTAGCTGAATTTAAGACCATATGTGGGAACATTCCTGGCTTCACCTTTGACATCCACACTGGCAAAGCTGTTGGTAAGTTTTGCTGAATATATTTTTGCCAAATAATGTTTTGCTGCACAGTCAAAACAATATAATAATACTACAATAAATAGCATATACCAACAACATATTATAAAACTCTAATTGCATCTTAAAGTTCTGATGAAATGATAAATTATGAGAACAGAGTTTAAGTATGTTTGTACATATGTGTACATTGTGTACATGTCACTACAATTCAGATTTACTTGGAATAGGAAAGGTTATTCATTTTAGTAAAATATTTGTATGAAAATATCTTCTCTTCATTCCCCAAATAACATTTGATTTTATTAGCTCTCTTCTTTAGCTGTCTTCCAGCCTTCTCTGCTTCGTCTTGATACTTTCAGAAAAAACAAACAAACAACACTTTTGAATAAGATTTTTCAAAGTGGTATTAGGTCTGTTCTAATTCCAGTATCCTGTTCTGACTCAGTTGTTTTTTGCTGTCCCTCTCCATGGTTGATAGGTACTTTAAATAATTTGGGGAACTTCTCCACATGCTAGACACCTTAAAAACCTATTACCAGTATAATGTTCAGTCTTATTTCCTTCCAACTTCATTTATCTTTCCTCTTGCACTTTGCTAACCAACTGTAATTTACAGTCCACCTTTGACTCTGGATCATCTTTTATTGGACTTCATATAATTTATTTTCATTGTTGTCAACATGAGGCTCATGTTTCTTCTCCCTATATTTATGTTTAATTATATGATGTTGAGTATAGCTTCTTCAGCTTAGTTGTTAACATAGTGAATCTATGATAGGGTACATAAAGCAATGCAGTACTGCATTTAACTAATGATAATTCACTTTCAGATATTGATGAATGTAAGGAGATTCCAGGGATTTGTGCAAATGGTGTCTGTATTAATCAGATTGGTAGTTTCCGCTGTGAATGTCCCACAGGATTCAGCTACAATGACCTGCTCCTGGTTTGCGAAGGTGATTTTGAATGACAGATTGGCTTTTATTTCTTTTTTATCTCCACAAGCATGTTTATTCTGAAGGGAAGTAGCAATGCACACTTTTTCTGCTATGAATACTTTAAGGGAAGCAGGTTGAAGGCTGTCTTTCAGTGACCCAGCTGACAAAATGTACTCAGGATATATTTATATTTAAGCAGTACCCACGTGCTCCAGCCAGTTTTTGTTACATTTGTTTTTAAGCAACTGCTATCTCTTTATTAGGATCTTTAACTATTTTTTTTTAGCTAACAGATCTTTTCATTACCTTTCTGAATGAATTTAACTTCCCTCATGTAAAGATTAATAACTCCCTCTTGAACAATTTTGCCAATGCACTTTATTCCAGACCTGTTTATCAGTACTGTTACAGGCTGAAACTCTTAGTCATGCCCGACTATGCAATGTGCTTATATGATGACTTAATTACCACACAGACTTTCACTTGTACCATAACTTCAGATTTGAAGTCTGGAGATGAAATACTGGCCCTTCTGAATTCAGTGGTACTTTTGCTTTGACTTTTAGCATCCTCACAGTAGCAGGCTAGAATACTAGCCAACCGCACCACCTATCCTGTTGTTTTAGTTAATTGTTCCTTTGGTTTGAGTTATATAAAGACATCTACAGTTTGTCAATATAGTAGACGGGGGCTTGACTTAATCAAGTTTGATACTTTCTTTAGCCTATATTTCACTGATGGAATGTCATTGACTTCAGTGAAGTTGTTCTTGTTTTGTCAGTGAGAGTAGAATTAGGTCAGTTTTCCATAGTTAGTGAGAATTTGCATGCAGATTATCCTTGAACAAGACTACAAGTGTAGTCTACAGTCCCGATCAAAGAAAATATGGTATGGTACCAAGCATTTGATCCAGGATTCTTGATATTGCAGATATTGATGAGTGCAGCAATGGAGACAACCTGTGTCAAAGAAATGCAGACTGTATCAATAGCCCTGGCAGTTACCGATGTGAATGTGCTGCGGGTTTCAAACTTTCACCCAATGGAGCCTGTGTTGGTGAGAAATTAGTTGATTCCAGTAGTTGCTGCATATATATGTATCTTTCAAATGGACATATTTCCTTTGGAGGTACAAGAAAAACAATTATTTAGTGTGTTTCTGTGCTTTCCTCTACGGTCATGCACACACATTTATTTTCCAGGCAAGTTTCTTTTTTCATAACAAACTGGATAAAATTTTAAAACAACATTCTTGAGGTCTCAGATATATTCTAACAGTAGTTTGACCTCAATATTTGTAGACAAAAAGAAAGTTCCTCATAAAGCCAGTTTTGTTATGATTCAGTTTTGATTATGGGTAATTTTGAATCTGGCTTTAATAATTATTAACAGATTGTAAAAACATGTTTGTGAAAAATGAATGAATAATAAAAATCAATAATGTGTACCATGTGTTTTATACTTTTGTTATAGATCGCAATGAATGCCTGGAAATTCCTAATGTTTGCAGTCATGGCTTGTGTGTGGACATGCAAGGAAGTTACCAGTGCATCTGTCACAATGGTTTTAAAGCATCTCAGGACCAGACTATGTGCATGGGTATGGAAAGCAAATGCCTTGAATTCTAAACAGTGGAAAATATCTAGAAATTCTGAACCATATTGAAGTTAAAGTTTCATCAAATCCCTAGTTCCTATATATCAGACAACTTTGAATTTCTTGAATAAAATGCAAAGTGTATTGTTTGGAATAAAATATACTGTGTCCCATTCTCCTCCATCTGGCCATATATACGCAGAAATAACTGTCTTAATATTAATGGGCAAACCTAGCATTTATTGTGATTAATTCCCAACTCCCAATATGCTGAAATGGTGACAGGAAAGAGCTGTTCCTGAGAGGTATGTAAATAGGAAAACAAATGATTTTTGTTCATGTTTTCTGTTTTGATTTTTTTTTTAATCTAAACACTGTATTGTCAAAAGGAACTAACTCATGAACGAATTCAGTTCCTTTTAGTGTGGCTGGTTGGTGCTTTGGACAAACGGCCAAAATATGTCTACTGCTGCTTTTGGTTTTCATGTAAATTCTGTCTTTAAATAGGGGAAATACAAATTCAGTTTCTAGACATATAGCCTGTGTTTCAGAATTGGTTCCTCTTATTTGTTTTACAATCATTTACATGGTGCTGTGCATCCATGAATCTTCCTTTTTCATTTTTAAACGGAATCATATGCCTCAAACTTTCTCAGAAGAGTAATTGGTCAACTGATTTTAAAAAACAGTAAACTTCCAAAGAGTGTTTATTTAGAATAGTAAATGTAGTAACTTTAAATAGTAGTTTTGGGGACTGAAACGTAAGGCTTTTAACAGTTGCTTATTAGGGCTGTGCGAAATTTTTCCAACTATTTTGTTTTGACACTGTTTCGACTCATTTCGAGCTCAAAACAGCGAAATCAAAATGAAACGAAGGGCTTTAAAACAAAACGAAGTTAGTCGAAACATTTTGAAATTTTCAAACGTTTCGAATTTCAAAGCAGCCAGGTGATGGGAGACGCAGGAGAACCAGGGCTGCGCTCCCAGTGGCTCAGCAGCCCCATGTGGCTTAGCTGGGCAGGGAGCACAGCCCTAGCTCTCCCCGCATCTCCCACTGCTGGGCTGCAAGAAGCTGATCGCAGCTCAGGGCTCAATTCCCCTCCACAGCACTGTGATTGGGCTAGGGAAGGGAACTGGGCTGAGTTCCCCTCCCCAGTGCTACAATCGAGCTAGGGAAGGCAACTCAGCCCAGCTGAGCTGAGGGGAACTAAGCAATCGGGCTCAGTTCCCTTCCCCAGCTCCCTGGTCCCAAGCGGCAGCACCCTGCTTCCCTCCCTCATCTGGCAGGCAGATTAGGAGCCCGCAACCCTGGAAGGACTGGCACAGCCCCCACAGCCCTTCTGGGGTTGCGGGCCCCCGATCTGCCTGCTGGATGAGAGAGTCTGTTTCGAGTTTCCCCATTATAGTCTATGGGCAAAACATCAAAACAGTATCACTGTTTCGTCGAAACAAAACGGAACAGCGGTTTCACATCCAAACGAAATTCTAAACAAAGTGCTGTTCCATCGAAACCTTGAAACAAGTCAAAACAGAATGGTGTTGTTTCGCACAGCCCTATGCTTATTGTAAAAAAATATCTCTGGGATCCTGCCAACTCTTAACACACAAATTCTAAAATTCCCTGCCTCCCCCAAATCAATAACCATAAATAGCATGTTAAATGCACATAAATCAGGGAGGACAGATAAGAACTTAGAATCTGACTAATTAATCTTCTCACCATTCTTGCATATGCTAAAAAATTCTTGCAGTATTTTATGATGAATTTCTAGTCTCCTCCTAAATTCCAGTGATCCAGTAGCATGGTTGCAAGTCCTGTTCCTGCTAAATCAACTTCTTTCGTGCAGTCTTTAACAGGGAAAATGAAATAAATGAATCTTATAGTTACCACATATTGCAGGTATGTCACTGGCCTTAAAAGATGATGGAACCCCAGAAATAGCTCAGAGATTTTGCACTTGAATCTAGTACCTACCAGTTCTCAAATCAGTGCTTTGTGGACAAATGTGTTTTAACATTTTAAGTCTTCTCTGTGGTTCCAAAATTTAAGTCACATTAAAAGACACTCTGTATTTTCTTAGTATTACTTTCCTATTTAAACATTCTTTGTAGTTGTCACAGGAATATGATGTGAAGAAGAACAGGAGAGATGGTGTCCCATATTAATGTAAATAGGATCACAGATATAAAATACACCATACACAAACATTGTGTAAACCTAAGGGGAGGCCAGAGGCACTCGGGTACTATACTGTTAACTAGTATTGGTATTCAGAAAAGCATTCTAACATCTAAAGCATCTGCACAGGCAGATTCACCATCCAGTTGGCTTAAGTACAAAGCAAACTATTATTCATTTTGAGTGTAACCAGAACAGTGCTACAGGCTGAACGAACCAAAATGAAGGGATTGTCATTGACCCAAAAGGATTACAGTGACTAACTACAAGGGACCCTTTTTTTAATGGGACCTCAAAGTAAATTCAGAAACCTGCAGCCCAAATGTCTGCAGTCAGTTACTGAGCTATCTCTGAGCTCCAAAAGCAATTTGGATTGTCCTTCCTGCCCACAGAGAAGTAACTAGGACTTTCTGTGTGCTGGGTAGCAGTGGGGGCCAGGCCAGCAACACTGCTGCCTGCCATTCTTGGGCCCACTCTAAGATGGTACCCAGGACCAGTGTCCTACTTGCCCATCCCAAGTTACACTACTGTCCGCCCACACTTAGCAGCAGCAGCAAGATTTAAGAGTCAAATTGTTTCATAGTTCAGTTTGCCAGCCTCTCTTCTCCTGTTATTATAACCTGTCTTATTGTCTCCCTTATTAAAAAAATGTAAACAATTAATGTACACAATAATATCCTGCTTATTTACACAAGAATATGCAAACTTCTGCAAAAATAATAAGTTCTAACATGTTAGTGTTAAAAAGCTCAGATAAAAGGTTGAAACTGACAATGCTAGCACCTTAACACACAGCTGGAAAGACAAGTCCCTTTGTACAAGTTCATTTCTCTCTGCAGATGTTGATGAATGTGAGCGCCATCCATGTGGAAATGGAACTTGTAAAAACACGGTTGGATCATACAACTGTCTGTGTTACCCAGGATTTGAGCTCACTCATAATAATGATTGTATGGGTAAGTGCTTTAACCCAAACTTTCCTTTCACTGCTACTACTTTGGGGTCGCAGCAGCTGCATGTAAAATAACCAATAAAACGAAAGTGAAAATCAGAAATCGATTCAGAATACTAGAAAAGATACATACACACTGCTTATCTGTTACCTCTGTGAGCTTTGGTTAATACTGTTTTCTCACCTAATTATTCTTTTTTCATGTAACGTAAAGGTTTTTCTTGTTCTACTCTTTAAAAATATAAGCTCTAATCTTTTGTATGGTTGGAGCTGTTTAGCTTTGCTTTGACAGTGCAAAATAGCCCTAAATCCAGTAAGTCTAGTTGCTGGAGCACTGCCTCTATGCAAGGAGTTTTTGAGTGGAGTAGTGCTATCACATTTGTTCCTGGCACCTTCTCTCAAGTCTGAAGATGTACGGGGAAAAGGACGTGCGGCTGACCCCTTACACCCAGCTTCTCCTGAACCCATTGGTAGTCAGCAAAAATTTTACCTGGAACTAGCTGAAGATGTTCATGGCTCTAGGATCAGGGGTTTCAGCTGTGGCTTAAAGTCACTTTTGCATCACTGCACACTCTCAATTAAGATTTGTGCAGAATGCCCTTCAGTTCTAGTAGAGCATCAGGGACTGATAATTTAAGTGACAGTTTACCCAAACCTATAATGCATTTTTCCTTTCCTCTTCCACATTGTAATACCCATCACTACATTAATAACTTGTCACCTGGTTATCTTAGCCATTAGTAGCTGAACCTTCTTCAAAAGCATGATACCAGGAAAGAGGAATTCAGTACAAAAAACCATATCAGTTGGTTTCCCAGACTGCCCTGTCTTTCTGAAATTAGTTCTTACTCAGAGTAACTGTTGTTTCTTGTCTTCTAAAGAAGACTGCTAAACTTCTGATAGTTTTGTACAACTACAGTTCCTGGATCATTTTATGAGAGACAGTTCCTGGACTAGAAAACAGGGTAAGGCCACGAACAGGCATTCATTTCTAGTGCAGGAAATTGTTCTGGGAGACACAGCAGTTCAGGCACCCGATGTGCAGCTGCCTCATCTTCCTTCTTTTCCATGCCTTCCTCAGACCAGTGATCAGTCTGGGGAAGGTGTAGGGATCAGGCTGCTCCACTCTTCCTTGTCCTGGGGGATGGGAGTAAAGAGGGCAAAGGACCCCACCTGCTCCCCAGACTAGGAACCCCAGCGGGGCTGCAGGCACCAGGTTTTTTGTTATTTGTTTGGGTTTTTTTCATTTAATATCAAAGCCAGCACCCATTACCCTGTACACAGGGAGCTGCAGATACAGGGCTGTCAAGTGCTGTGTGGGAATAGGGGGAGCTTCTCCCCATATTGATGTGTGCGACACTCAAAGTCAGCACCTGCAGCCCCCCTCCCAGGAGCAGAAGTAATAAAGGATAATGTCCCCACCATGTTCCCAAGCCCAGGGCAGTCCTCCAGCTGCTCCTCATCTTCCTGAACCAGACTGGCAGAAGAGTAAACAAACATTTGTTCTTGCAAGGGAGAGATCTTCCAGAAGGGGCCTGCTCCTGAGAAAAATTGAACTGTCTTGTACACTTGTCATTTCTACTGGGAGAATGGTGATTCTCCTGGTAGAAATGTAATGCTTGTATGTGGTTTACGTCTCTAGAGATTCCTTCCTTTTGAATGGAGAGTAAACTTTCATAGGGGCTGAATAAGAAAAAATGTAATAAAGTTTATTAAATTCCTTCTACTTCCAGAAAGGAGACCGAAAAAAAAGCTTTCACATGCATTTTTGTTCCAAGAGAAAACCAAAATACAGTTTATAACTAAATCTTCTAATTCCCTTCCCTCTCTAGGAGGGGAAAAAATCAAAACTTACTGCAGAAGAGAACAAACCCTATCCCATAAACAGGACAAAGTTTGTGGTTCACAGAGGAGGTCCTTTCTATCTGTGGTAGTATAGCTGTTGATCTGTTTCCTCTGAGTAGCCCTTAGCTACCTCCCATTATGGCTCCAGGTAGTGTTTTCACACTCAAGTTCACTCACAGTAATGACCATGTACACCTATCTTCCCAGCCTGGAGCCTCAAGGCTTTTTTCCTCAGCCATGCCACTGTCCATCCCAAAACACTGAGAGGTAGTATAGCCCATCATAAGGATATATTCAAATACAAATATCTGAATAAAATCAGTCGTATGGAAACAGAATGGTTCACTGAGTGATATAGTCACTGCTCCACTCGATCAGATGGATGATCCATACATATAGTTTTGAAACCATTACTAGATACTTCAGAGGAAATGTGTTTTCAATTTAAATAATTTATGCTTTATTATTTAAAACTCTCTCTAAACCAGGTAGATTATCTTTTCAGAAGATTTATCCCATTTCTTACGCTACCTGGCTCTTTTTATATTTTCTTTTCATTCCATCCAAACCCAACACTTCTTTCTTCTGCATTTTCCTTGTGCATTAAGGTATATGGCTGCATTACTGAAAGGGTGTTACGGAGCTAATTCAGCCATCTGAAAGTTGTCTTTTCTCTGTTAAGTTTTCCTGAACTAGAGAATCAGCATGTAGGAAGGAGGGTGATTTCATTCCAGCTGTAATACACATTTTTAAAAACCTGAAAATGACAAAGCAGGTTCAAGGGAAACTTGAGCACAAATAAAAATCCAGATAAAACCCAGAACACTCCAAGTAACATTTTTTTCTCTAGCATTTTCTTCTACTAACTGAAGTTAGTATCACAAAAAGAATCACTTGGCAGCAGTTGAACCTCTCCAGATGCAGTAGCTGAGGTAATACCACAAGTTAGAAATTATAATAGCCTATAAAGAGGGTGTTGTTTAAATAGCACATGTACCTTAATGCACTAGAGGGAGAGTTACTTTCCACTATCTGTCAATTGTTCCCTTGCTGCTTAAGATTTGTCTTTTCCATGGAATTATATATTGAAACTCAAATGTGTTTATAATATACTGATATATACTATGCCTGCATATACATTCTAATTGTTAGACCTCTTAGAAGGGTTCAACTCTTAACTGGTTTATTTACAGATATTGATGAGTGCAGTTCCTTCTTTGGTCAGGTGTGCAGAAATGGACGATGTTTTAATGAAATTGGGTCTTTCAAATGTTTATGTAATGAAGGCTATGAACTTACTCCAGATGGCAAGAATTGCATTGGTATGTATTAAACTAACTGGAGATTCCAAACTTTATCTTACTTGAAATAAACGGATGGCCATGTTTAGAAGGAAATATTACTGTACAGTCTTAATATGAGTGAAAATACTGAGAATGAAAAACTGACATTATGAAAACTGGTGATACAAGTGTGAGGAAGTTTTTAGAATAATGTCATTTGTCTTCATCAGCTTAGAGCAGAGGTGTCAAACTCACCTTGTGCCCCAGCCCAGATCCAGGCCACAGGGCTCCTTGCAGGCCAGATCCAGCCTGGGGCATGAGGAAGTGGTGAAGACAGCTCAAGCTCCAACCTGGAGCATGCGTCAGCAGTTTCAGCACAGGTCACATGGTGGGGACTGGCAGCCAGGGAGGGCCACAGAAGTGGTGACAGGTGAAGTGGCTGGAAGGCAAATGGAGCTGTGTCTGCCTTTGCTCACCCTCCTGCTGCTGAGTACCATGTCCATAAGGGCCCAAAGGTCCCTCATTCTACGGCAGGCCATGCCCATCAGCCACACCCTGCAACTTCATGTGGCCCACTGGTAGTCTAGCAGACCGGACAGAGCAGCTCCATGGAATGCATCCAGGCTATGGGCTGCATGTTTAATGCTCCTGACTTAGACTGTTAGAGAAAAGAAGTCAGGAGAGACATTATAGGCTAATAACATTAAACTGACACTAACTTACATCTGTTTTGTGGATGCCAATACTTTACCCCCTCATTATGTAAAAGTAAGGCCACAAAGAATTAATTAATTTCAAAATTACTGAATCTTTTTCACGTCTTTTTATTTTCTTAAGATACAAATGAGTGTGTGGCACTTCCTGGCTCATGCTCTCCTGGTACGTGCCAGAACTTGGAAGGTTCATTCAGATGCATTTGTCCACCAGGATATGAAGTGAAAAGTGAAAGCTGTATAGGTAAGGCTCACTGTTACAGTTGCTTACTGATGTAAGAAAGACTGTCTGGCGCAAATCTGATGGAAACAATACCTCACTCTTGCTGGTGAAAAGGCACTTTTGTTTTGAAAAATTGGCATGACAGGAAATGTGTAAGAGGGAATTAATAGTAGCCATTATCAGGTGGCTTTTTAACCAGCAGGGACATTGTTACACGATATGATAAGAGCAAAGGAAGTAAGTATTCAGTGCTTTTCATTAATGCAAAAATATTTTGTCAAGTGTTCAAAGAATTTACAGTGTTTTTTCTTCTTTTCCTAATTTTTTTGTTCCAAATGTCAATAAAAAGAGACCATCAACTGAATTCATACAGCATTTACAAAAGTTGTACTCTTTGGTAAACAATACAAGAAGACGCTCTCAGAGGTGTCTCATGTCCAAGAACTATGAAGTTTAAAAATCTTGATAATTGCTGTTGAGCTTGTTTTCTTTATAGAAGGAGTTTTCTAAATCAGCTTATTTTAACAGACATTTTCTGTTTTTGAGATGTGTAGAGCAAAACAAGTCCTCGTATCAGCTTATTTATTGCAGTCTCAAGAACAATATTTTTCAGAACCTTGTTAACAATTAGTTCAGCACTTGAATGTCACTTGCTCTTTTATGTTTTCTAAAAATAAATGAAAGAGTTCTGTTTCAGTGCAGCAAGAAATTGAAATCATAGTTACTAAATCAGAAACAATGCAAGTTACAGTGCTCTTCAACACAACAAAGACAAGGACTACCATAAACCTAGAAGTAAATCATAATTAAGTTCAGATTAATCACATGATACCCTCACTCAGGTAGAACTTCCACTGAGGTTATTGAGAAGTTTGCCCATGTAAGAACCAAAGAAAATCATGGTAAACATGTCAGGATTTGGTTTATAACAATTTAATCTTTCTAAATCCTGGACAAAGACCAGATCTTATCAAAGACTTTTCCTCTTGAACAGTACAGAGTATTTTCCAAGCTCGCAAGTTCTCTCATTCCTGTGTATCATTCCACAATGTTTGGTTTGCCTGCCAATTTAACAGTTTCTTTTGGCAGCTGCTGTTCCCTATAATTAACAGTTGTGTTTGAGACTAATCCACATAATCTATGATTGTGAAATCATGAATTCAAAACAAAAACTCAAATCCCATGGATTAGTACTGTTTATGACAATTTTTAATATCCTTTCAGTATCTCTAATGTTTTATTATGGCAACACTATACTAAGTGCCCAATATTTTCTTTGACCAACTTAAGGTTCTAGCAAACACTGAAATCAGAATTCTGGCTTTCTTTGGTGTTGTGTCCAAGGTAGTATAACAATACTTTGTGCAAGTGTGATTCTATTTATATCTTGATTAATATTCTTTCAGGCCTTGTAATCTGATAATCTGCTTTTCTTAAGTGCTGGTATCTTTATAATGAAATTTCTCACTTTAACATGTGTTTGTTAGTACTGAATTCAACTCTGCCACCTGTGCAACTGAAGTTAAGCATGTGTGAATGAAGGCAGAATGTATCGCTCCATATGGTATAAAGTCTGGTGCAATTACAGTGTCTTTAATTATCACCATTTAATTATCTTTCAAATGCATTATTTACCATCATTCTCTCAAGCTAATTAGCCTGCCTTGGGAACAGATATAACTACACTGCTACTGGTTCTCGGGGGCAACCCAGTATGCCTGAGGATAGTGCTACTTGGCACAGTTAGTTTTACCATATAGATGCGACTCCTGTGACCTTACTACTAGGGGTGTGCAAAAAGGGCCCTATTTGATTTGGATTTGGCCCAGAACAGGGACAGTGATTCGATTCATTGATTCAGATTACTGTCCCTGATTTGATTCAGCCGAATCCGAATCTGAAGATTTGATGCTGATTCAGAGAATCAGTGATTCGGACATGCACACAACTTTAAATGTTTTTTCTACATACCTCAAGGCACCAGGCACAGCTTGTGATCGCTGCGATGCTGGGGCAGATGAAGCATCCCACAGGAGTGCAGGGGAGCCCCCCACATGCTTGGCGGCGAACCCAGAAGTGGACCAGAAGTACTTCCAGTCTGCTTCCAGGTTCGCCAGGAAATGCTCTGGGGACCCCCCACACACCTCCCCAGCTCAGTGATCAGCCTCAGGGGGACCCCAAGGGGATCCCAGGTTCCCTTCTCCCCCCCCAGACCCAGGAGGCACCGGTTGCCACGCTCCCCAGCAGACCTGGAAGTGGACCGGAAGTGTTTTTGTGGACCTCCTGCACTCCTGTGGGGTACTCAATGTACCCCAGCATCTCAGCACTCACAAGCCACCTGCTATCTAGAGGTATGTGGAAAAAACATTTAAAGCTGTGTCTACGTCCAAATCTCCGAATCTTTCCGAATCTCTCCAGATCAATTTGGAGGATTCCAATTCAATCTGAAGAGATTAAAGGGTCCTCTGATTCGATTTGGATTCAGAGATTCGGTGACCGAATCTGGCCGAATCTCTGCCGAATCAAATCGAGGACCGGAGCTTTGCACACCCCTACTAAATGCTAATTAGCATTAGTTGGTCAGGTTTTTCAAATGGCTGTCTGATATCCCTCATAGAGTGTCCAAAGGTTGTGGGCCCACACTGTTTATTGAAAGAAATGGAACTCAGTATCTTGTTTATAGACTTTTTAGGTATCTCTTAATGAAATGAAATCAAGATAAAATTAGCAAAACAATATCAATAATATTAAAATAAAGAAAAAATAAGAAAAAATCATTGCCATAAGCAAATAGGAAGTAAATCAGAATTAAATCTGCATAGCAAATAAATCAAGTCAGAAATATGTTTACAGATTATCCTGTAAGGTTCTATAATGTCTGTAGGCCTGTGCATTCGGCAGGTGCTTTAAGGAAAATATTGTGAGGGTGTGGAGACGTACACAGAGCAGATAAACTGTTCCTAAATGTCACTGGTAGAGAACCAGTCAGGGTGTGGGAATGAGCTCACAGCCCACCAGGCTTCTTGGGGGTTGGGGGATTGCAGTGAGGTGGGACAGGGAGAAGAGTGCTTGTGCCCCGGCTTTGGGCAAGCATGAGTGACCTGTGGCTGGGGGCATTTTCACTATTCTACTTTTGCTTGTTTCCTAAATATAAGTTCAGTAAACTTCAATAGCCTGTAGATGATCAAAGTCTGCAATGGGCTTGCCTGACTTGGGGGTGAGGGGTACTTAGACCCATGCGTTTTTGCTCCCAGGGGCTGAGGGATCATGATAATGGGTTTCAGTCAAGTAGGGAGCAAGGACATTGCTGTGGGGGCTGAAGAGCAAAGCAGTGTGGAATGCCTGGAGGACAGAGCAGACCCATGTCACAGAATGGTTGGTATCCATACAAAATACTGGATCAGTTCTCAGTGAACCAGGTCAAATTCATACTTGATTTTCAGGTACAATTTTGAATAATTTCAGGCAGATTTAAACTAGTTTAACAGGCTTGTATGTCCATCCGCTTCAGATTTAAACCACATTTCAACCATTCAAAGTGTTATACGTGTCCATGCCCACAGTTGATAGTCTGTCCTCCCCAGAAAAGACAGGTAATACCAATACATTTACCTTTTGTTCAGAACTAATTTAAGTGTGTGTGCATGTGTTGTACTGTTTTGGTTTTTGGTACATCACAGCTTCCCTGCAATCTGCACTAAATTATGGCACTCTGTAGTCTAAAAGGGTTCCTTAGAAAAACATCAGACTTTCACCTCCCCATTAATCTCAGTTTTAGCTTCTTAATTTCCTTTGGCCACAATGAGTGCCAGGTCTTGTAGGCAATGAGTTGGGAAGCATTGTAGCTTGTAATCAGACAATGAGTTGGGAAACATTTGTAGTTTATAATCAGACATTTCTATAGTTCAGTCTTCCT